TGCTGCTGCTGCTGCTGCTGCTGTTGTTGCTGCTGCTGCTGCTGCTGCTGTTGCTGCTGCTGCTGCTGCTCTTGCGGCTGTTGCTGCTGCTGCTGTCGCTGCTGCTGCTGTTGCTGCTGCTGCTGCTGCTGCTGCTGTGGTGTCCTCAGTGCAACAACGGGTCGTACGCAAAGACAAGCTAAACCCTAAAAAGAGAAACCCTCTAAACCCTAAACCCTAAACCCTAAACCCTAAACCCTAAATTCTGAAGAAGGAGACCAAGACAGTGTCAATCGACGCCTGAAGGCCTGCGGTCTAGGGTTTAGGGTTTAGGGTTTGGGGTTTAGGGTTTAGGGTTTAGGGTTTATAAATAATATTTATATAACCTTTATTATATTTATTATACATAAACACTGAAATTTAACTATCAGCAGCAACACAGCTGCAAGGGGACAGCTGCTGTGGGGCCCCATACAGCAGCAGCAGCAGCAGCAGCAGCAGCAACAGCAGCAGCAGCAGCAGCAGCAGCAGTAGGTAGAGAGAAATAATGTGTATGTTAATACCTGCAGCAGCAGCAACAGCAGCAGCAAATATTTCATTATAAAATGCAGCAGCAACAAACAGAAAACGCAGCAGCAATAGCTGCTGCTGTGCTGCTGCTGCTGGCACTGGCCCACCGCAGCAGCAGCAGCAGCAGCAGCAGCAGCAGATATTGTAGCAGCAGCAGCAGCAGCAGCAGCAGCTGCTGCTGCTGCTGCTACCACTGCTGCAGCAGGTGACCCTTGCTTGCCCAGGGATGGCTGCAGCAGGAGCGAGGGGGTCGGTAGTAGTAGAGTATCTGCTTCTGCTGCTGCTGCTGCTGCTGCTGCTGTCGTTGTTGTTGTTGTTGTTGTTGATGCTGCTGTTGCTGCTGCTTCTGTTGCTGCTGCTGCTGCTGCTGTTGCTGCTGCCGCTGCTAGGTGTAGTATGTGACATTGGCTATTGGCGTCGAGTCAAACGCTGCAGCAGCAGCAGCAGTAACAGCAGCAGCAGTAGCAGCAGCAGCAGCAGCAGCAGCAGCAGTAACAGCAGCAGTAACAGCAGCAGCAGCAGCAGTAACAGCAGCAGCAGCAGCAGCAGCAGCAGCGGCAGGAGTAGTAGTAGTAGTAGTAGTAGTATGGAAGCCATTGCAGCAGCAGCAGTAGCAGTAGCGACAACAACAGCAGCAGCAGCAGCAACAGCAGCAGTAGCAGCAGCAGTAGCAGCAGCAGCAGCAGCAGCAGCAGCAAACAGTGTATCAACAGCAGCAGCAACGAAGCCCTCTTGACGGCTAGCTGTTTTCACTAGGCCATACACAGAAAGCAGCTAGGGTTTAAGGTTTAGGGTTTAGGGTTTAGTGTCTAGGGTTTAGGGTTTAGGGTTTAGGGGGCCGTATATGCTGGTGTATTCTTCGGCCCCTCTAGCTGCTAAACCCTAACCCGTAAACCCTAAACCCTAAACCCTAGCTTAAACCCTAAACAGAGCAGTAAACCTTAAACCCTAAACCCTAAACCCTCCAAACAAAGAGAAGGGTTTAGGGTTTAGGGTTTAGCATCCCTGCGTTAGTATGGGCCTCAAACGAAAACTATTGGCGCTGCATTTATTTTTAGGGTTTAGGGTTTAGGGTTTAGGGTTTAGGGTTAGCGTCGAGGTGTCTGTACACCTAAACCCCCCATCTGACCAATGGACCAGACCACTGGGGGAGGAGAGGACTTCCGTTTGAAGCACTCCTTCATACTTAGCTAGCTAGCTAGCTAGCTAACTATATATGTATAGAGCTAGTCAGCTAGCTAGCTAGCTAGCTAGCTAGCCAGCTAGCCATGTGCCTGTCTATCTAGCGAGCCGCTCAACGTAGCCAACAAGGACCAACCAATACGAGCGTAGCTAGCTAGTGTCTCAGCTAA